TGTAAACTTTTTTATGCATCAATTATTACATTTAAGGTTTTAATCCAATATGTCAGTGAAATACTTCGTAAAACTCTGGATGGAGTGAATTTATGTGTGGTTTCATGAGGGGAGTGTCTGGCCTTTGTCTCTGGGTGCCCTTCTAATTGTAGTTATTTGAACGTCTTGAGTTTGGTTTCTGTTTCTAACCACATCTTGTTTCCCTCAGTGTGCTTAATTCAGACACACCAGAGCCTGCTCTTTATCTCCTGTCAGCCTCAGGGCACGAGAACATGCGAAACCCAACAAAGCAAAACATGCAAAACCCAACAAAGTAAAATGTTTAACCTTTAAAAAGGGAAAAGACAGAACACAACCACATACATATCAACTTTTATTGTTTTCTCCCCCCCAAGACAAAAATTTCCAGAGTATACAAGAGTGGATTGTCATTGAGCGGCTGCTAACTAATCACTGAAAACAAAAATAAACCCCTAACTATCACAATAAACATTTGGGAAATATACATACAGAAAAATAGACCTCTGAGAAAATTCAAATATTGACATTTCCTAACAGCTTATAGTCAGGGCTCGATCAGTAGCAATGAAGACTGGTATGAAGTGAACACATGCAGAAGAAGTTAAGTAAAGTGAGGCCCTCACTCCAACATGAACACACATCCATCATGTATCTCTGATGTGTGAAGTATGGCTGGCATGGGGAATGTAGGTCAATATTGCTTTACAAAACACACTAGGTTTCAAATCAATTTAAAAGCAAGAGGATTTAAAACAGACAGCACACAGAATGGAGTCTTTGGCATTTTGTTCAGTCTAATAAAAGCCACAAAGCTAAAAAATAATAAACCTTGTGTTTTAACTCTAATTGCATATACGTTCAATCACCTGAGGTGCTCTGGTTGGGATCTACGATGAGCTTCTTTCCTCTCACAGCCTGGATGTGAACCTGCTCAAAAAAAAAAAGGTAATAAACACATTCCTCAATAAGACTCAGGAGTAAAAAACTTTAACATTGCACTCTCCTCTTTTTCAGGCACATAAAGCCAGTTTCCAATGAAGCTTTCCACTGATAGTTACTACGGAGCCACTCTTCAGGCATGAATGAAGCTGAAACAACCAGTGCGTGGCTCACGTGTTTTCAGTACAGTCGCGTTACAGAGATACAATCTGTTTAACATAATGAAAACTCACCACAATCAATAGAACTGATCTTCAGATTTCCAGAATCATCTTGTTAATACGTAGACACCAATATTCTGACCAATGAGCTTATGAAGAATAAGATAATTATTTCAATCATGTTTGCAATGGAAGTATAATGAAATAGTAAATATGTCTAAATAATGTGGTAGTTTTGATTATTTATATCAGAAAGTGCTGTTTACTATTTAGACTACTGTCTTAATCTGTTTAATATCAGAACATTGGTGTAAAGATCTGTGGAAAATCATTGTTTGAAAAAGGTAATTCAGCTCTGTGACCCGACTGTAGACAGAAGACAAACCCGGGGCTACAGCTTCACTAGATTTTAACATGTTTTGCACATTTAAACTGAAAAATAACAGCAAGTGGAGCTTGAACGTCTCCCATCAACAATTATTCAGCTTAATATGTGTGAAAAAATGAAACCTGGAAGCGTTTGTTTCTGTGTGAAAGTGAAACAACAGCAAGGCTGTTCTCCTCTCCTGTGTCTCAACAACTCACACAAGAACTATTGTAGAAGAGCAGCCCCCCACACACACACACTGCATCTTAGCTTCAACACATCTGGAGAGATTTGCAGCGTAATTTCCACATTTGTGGCGAGATGGTTTTGGACAGATGAAAAAAAACAACAAAAACCCACGTGTGCGACAGGTGCTGGAATGACATCTTGACATATTAAAGTGTAAAGAAAAGTTTACATGTGCTTTAATGTTAATTGTAACAGATCAGGCGTTCACCCATCTATACTAGAATGCTAAACAACATTTTATTATCAAACCCTTAATTCCCTCTCTTTACCCCGACTAATACAGTTTGCATGATATACAGCACGCAAAGACAAACCAAAGTCTTTTCTTATAAAAGGTAGAAAGCTGTCAGACGAGAGATATGCTCAATTTTAATGTAAAACACCACCTCATCCCAAATGTCTAACAGTTCTTTGTCTTGTCAGCGGCAGCACAAACAAATAATGTGGCCAACAAAGGAACCACCAAGCACAAGAAGAAGAAAACCCAAATCCCACAGTGCATGTGACAACTTAGTTCAACCTAGTTCAACCTTCACCATTCCTGCAGTTCTCCTCGGGGAAAGGGACAAAGTGGAGGCGAGGGCGTGTGCGTCACATGGAAATCATACTTCTCCTAAACATCCCCTTAAACCACAAGTCTGTAAAAGAAAAGGGTGAAACCTCCCAGTGAGCGGTGAAGGATCTCTGAGGTGGAGGCCGGGGTTTGTGCCAGAGCAAGAGAGTTGAGGTGGTTGATTGTTGATTGTTCAAGCGAGCAAAGGGTAGAGGGGCGTGTTTCTGTTTTGGGGGGAGGTGTGGAGGGGGAGACGGGTGGGTGAGGGAGGTGTCAGGAGAAAATGCGGCGGTCACTCCTCATCTGAGCTGCTGTTGTCCAGAGAGTAAACCATGAAGGCCAGATCGGGCCGGGCTGGTACCATGGGGTTGCCCGGCTTCACCATCTCGAAGCCCATGTAGTGGAAGGTCTTGATGATGGACACTGATGAGCAAACAAGGAAAAGAGTCTTCAGTGGTTTGACGAGGATGAACAAAAAAAACTGTCTGATACATGTGCGATAAATTTGATTGCAAATCCACTGGTCCTGCTCTATGTCTTTACACAACTCACACATTTACTGGTCTTAGTGATGATGGGGATTTAGCTTTTTTTATAACTTATCATTTTAACCACTGAAGATTAGGTGGGATGGTCATTGATGCACCTGAACTTGTTTTAATGAGTGTTTTACAGATATTTGTTTTTGCATCGAGCTGTACTTAGCATCGTGTCTCTTGTAACAGTAGAGATGTATATTATATCAGTAGATACAAGATGGATACTATACTCAGGGAACCTTATTTTTACATTTAATGTAAAAATGAGTCAAACAACAGGATACATCGTTATTACTGAGGATTAAAGTGCTATAACAAAAAGAAATGGTATTTAAAAATAAACAGGAGCTCTTACATCGATCCTCTCGGTTTTTATGGAACCACAGGAACACATAGTTAACTTTGAGCTTCTCTTCCGCAAACTCGAGCAGAGCAGTTAGCCTGAGGACGACATGAACACAGAGAGAGACAGAGTCAGTCGGTGAGCAAGGGGAGAGTGAGACTGGCAATGACGCACACAAAGTTTTTTTTGTGTGTGTCCTCTTTACATAAGCGTTGCAACTTTACATAATAATACAGTGGCAGCTGTGGAGCCGGCTGCTCATTGGACTGGCTCTGCGACGACAGCAGGCAAGGTTACCCCGTCCTGGCATCGATTACTGCCACACAATAAAACCAGCCGATGAAAAATAAACCTATTAGCAGCTTATTGAAATTGTGGCACACTGGTAGCTTTTAAATACGAGATGATAATAGTCTTTCATTAACATTCGACCCAAATGGTGCTGACAACTACATGGGGGTATGTGATACAAGTGCGGGCGAACAATTCTGCTCTGCATGCACAGCTCAACTCTGGTGACTGATCCTCCCCTCCTTCGATCGGTCACTTTGAACATACAGTATCTCTGATCTTCTCACTCCCTTCCCCTTAATTTCTTTGCAACAATTGTAAACATTGTGATCAACTGCTGTTGAAACAAAAAGCCCATGTTACAATTGTGAACTGTTTACTTGTGTTAAGGGGAGGGCTGGGCAAATAACCGAAAATGTATCGATTACGACATTTCTAACCTCTAATCGGCCTAATTTTTACTTTCCACAGTGCGTGCATTCAAACTGTCAGGTTTCCACGCATGTCCTCCCTCCCCCGCTAACCTGTGCTCAAATTGCATGTTTACAATAAACACCAACTCCAATCACAAGTTAATAGGACACCTTAGCTAAAGAACTTGAGGTTTACTTTGTGTTTTGTTTTGATCTAAAGTTAAGGAGAAGCGTGTTTAAACAAAAAGATCCAACATTTTGCACAACACACAACAAGAGAGGAAACATAACGCGCACAGCGTTAAAGTGATCGGCACAATCCAGATTGAGGGTTTGTGTGAAGCACGACAGGAATGAGGAGACATACAAACAAGCAGGAGCATGTCCCACACAAGTCTGAAATAATGGTGGTATTGATTTGACATCATATCGCCCAGCCCTAGTTAAGGGCATTAAAAAATGCTCCGTCGTGAGTATGGTTCCTGTGCTCGTGGATACTGATACCGTGCATTTGTATACACAGGCATGGTTTTTATGTGAACACATTTTAAGACGACAACAACTCCATACAAATCTCCCCTGTGAGAGGTGGTAGAAAGACAGCAGCTGTACTGAGATACTCAAAGTCACAACAAATACAAATAAATATCCAAACATCTGTAGAATCTTTTGTAACCACTCCAACTGTTGATCTGTAGATCCACTATAAAGTCATTTTAACATTTAGATCAGGGGGAGACAGGATGAGTGTTTAAGCGACCCTATACATCTCAATGCTTCCTTACCCCTCCTTGCTGCCCTCGACCAGCAGCCCAGCAGGAATCTCCAGGAAAAGGCTGTCCTCAGATAGAGCTGTATCCCAGGAGGCCGAGTGGCGCTCACTCAGCTGGTAGTGGAAGTGGAGAAGAGAGGGGTTCCCACTCGCCGTAGCGCCCTGTGTCACTGTCAACTTCTCATCCTGCATTCACACAAGGGGGATGCATTTTGTCAGAACACAGACATGTCTTCTACAACAAAATAAGGTAATAGATAGAAGGTAATAGTACTTAATATAGACTTAATGGTGAAGTGAAACATGAGAAGAGGAAGTGGTTACAAGTGTCATGTCTGCAGCAGGCAGACTGCACTGTAACTAAGCTTTAACTCACCACTCTATTGACCCGCTTAGTTGCAGATTTGCAGATAAAGTATTTTGGCACATGATTCTTAGGCACAAAGGTTGTTGGTAAAATTGAATGTGTGTAATCTATTACTGCATGAGCACAAATACTGAAGCAACTGTATGAGTCAAATTATATTGCAATTCCATGAGTGGACTCAAGATGATCAAGAGAAACAGGAGGCATCCAAGCTATGTTTCAAGTGACATAGCAAAGAGTCTGAATATTAATGTCAATGTGAGATTTATTTATTTTTGATGACGTATCATTGATCACACACACACACTCAACCAGACCGATGACAAATATGCAACATGTAGAAAAGCAATGTTTCCATCTATTTTGTCCACAGTCTCCCAACATGTTTCACACAGCTCGCTAACCTAACAGCAAGTTGTTATGAGGAAGCTCAAACATAATCTCTATCAACAGTACTGCATGTGAATATTCTCAGAGAACTAAAGCTGTAAACTGATCAAGGAAAACCTCTAGCTTGGTGCATTATTACAAATATTAAGGTAGTCCTGTCATGATTGGATATGTTGTCCCAGAAATTACTGCAACAAATGATATTATTGTCAAATCATCATCAATGTGAAAGAATTTTAAAACACTGGTATAATGATAATATTATTGCATTATCATTGTTAGTACAACCTTTCAAAGAGCAATGAAATCCATTCTAAAGAATAATCAGTTTGATGAAATCTCTGGCTCTGTTAACAAATATTTATCTTGAATAAATACTTAACACTTCGCAAAGAATATATTTTACCAGCTCAGTGAACAGGATGGGATGGTTATGATATAAAGGAGCTTTTAGCTATGTATTGTACTTGGTTAGTACTCCAGTATTTCCTCTACGATCGTGTGTGTGTGTGTGTGTGTGTGTGTGTCTGCGCGAGGAAGTTGCTCTTCATACAGGCAATCACATTTATTTATTAATTAATTAATCAATGCTGTCGCATCATGAATCCAGATCAGCCTTGTCACTTTAACACTGATGTCCCGGCTGTGTGCTTCTTGTGCTGTGTGTAGTAGTGAGTACTCACAAAATGTCGTTAAAATGTGTTAAAATACGGCCTGGGGCCTGTGTGTGAGAGTGTAAACTCGCCAGAGGAGATGAGATGAGGAAACGACGTGACTTGGATCAGATCGAGAGACAGTCCAGTTAAATGTTTGGTGTACCGCTGTGACCATGGAAAATGTGTCTCCAATGACACAGTACGGAGTGAATAGTAACTTTGATGTGGTGAACATCACGGTCCAAATCATATTTTATGAATAGAGTGTGATGTAATGGAGCTTCTTGCAGTAACATATTTATGATCAACATGCTTCTCTTCATCATCCGTTTTATCAATGGTTTATAACTGTGGTTTATATAGTCACTGTGTCAGTTTCTCCTGTTTGGTGTGAAATCATTAATTTTCAAATTCCTAACTTTCCTTTTAAATAATTCACGACATGTTAACAATCATAGAGGCAAATTCAATAAAATATGCAATAACTTATAGTGTGTATGAAAGAATTGTGACATTAAATTGTACCACAGGCATCACATTCGGAATTTTAATTTTTCTCCATTGTGGCTGTCCTTGGACTTACCTTGTGGGAGGAAAATTATTTTATTGTTTAGCTTTAGCAAAGGGCTTCAACATAACAAATTATGAAAAAATAAAAGGTCTTAATACTCTCTGAATGTTTTGTATTTCATTAATGGAAGAGTTTGTCCTCACAGATCTCTGATAAACCAGCGATAACGTTAGAGAGAGCGTTCTGCTCGCTGAGAACAGATGAGAAGTAATATGACAGTTGTGACTGATCTGTCTGATCCTAAATCTCTAATCCCTCAGGGACAGTCAGTCACATGTCTGGGGTACAATTTGATAGACAGACCCACACACACAGACATACACACATAGACACACAGGAGCAGAACACAGCAGTTTAAGTGTAGATGTTTAGGAAAATGCTAAAATGTATATAAATTAATTTCTATGATTACATTTGAAGAGACAGCGAATGAAATAACTTGTGTGTTAAATCCACTGCAGGTACGAATGATGAGTCGGAGTAAGATTAAATGATTTTTAAGCTTTTAAAAAAAACTCCTTTGCAGAATGAGGACAACTCATTAGCAAGGTGTTCTGCTGTGGTTAGTGCAGAGTGGCCCCTGAGGGATGAAACACTTAACACAATTATTACCAACAGTGGTCACAGTAAAAAAAAAAAAAAAAAACCTTGTGCAGACTCATTGTTTTTTTCCATCACAACTCTCTGAAAGTATTTATCATAAAACAGGCTATACTGTACAATAACAAGAAAATATATAGATCATCCAACTTATGGAAAGCATGGCCTGTCTGTGTTTGTGTGTCTGTGTGTGTGTGTGTGTGTGTTTGTGTGAGAGATTAAAAGGACGGTCACCTTGTGTAGTAGCACGCCGAGACAGTGATCCCTGACAGTCCCTCGCCCACCCGGGATCTTTAGTTGTGGGTGAGGGGCATCAGGAGCACCACAGAGGCCCTGGAGCCTGAGGGTTTGAGCTGGGCAACCGAGACCCCGCTAACCAGGAACTGCAGGGGAAAAGATGGTAGAGGTTAGTGTTTGAGGTTGTATCACTGAATTTCATCCTCTATCCTGTAACACCACTAACTAGGGGTGTGCAATATTGACAAAAAAAATGATATCTCGATATTTTCTGGGATTATGCCGATAACGATAATTAGACCGCTGATGGAACCTGGCCAGGCTGGGCTCTGTCCGGAACGAGTGAATGAATGAGAGTTACAGTTAGGGTGGGAGAGAGGGAAGGAAAAGGAGAGAGGGATAAGGCTGAGAGACCCACACACACACACACATTGTGAATGAGTAGGCCTCTGTGATGTCTAGAATGCTGGAAAAATGATTTATTGTCACTGGGCTGGTGGAGTAGAGCGCTCACTTCGTGTGCCTGTACCCAGGCTTTGTGCAACGCGGCTCGGCCAGTGGAGCTCGTGCGAGGCGCCTGGCTCTCCCTCACTCACGGGACGCATGCTCCATGTGCCTCTACCCAATACTAGATAACGTGAGCTCGCACATCATTTAAACAACAATTAAGATATTATTGACGACAAATATCGCACACCCCTTCATCTAACCACACACAGTTTTCCAATAATGTTAAAAATGAATATCAACTCAACAACACAGCCAGGGCAGTATCCCTACACTCAATGCACAGATAACAATGGTGACGACACTGAATAAACATTACGTCAAACACACCAATAAATTCCACATTTGAATCCCAACCGCTGACTGTTTGTATGAAGAATCTGCCAACAAGAACCCACAATTTAAAGATCTTTAGCTGTACATGTACATCCAGGCTTCTGGACTTCATTGTAAATGAAAGACAAATAAAGACCAAACACAACATTAGAGGGACATTTGAGTATAAAAGCAAAACAGGTCTCACAAGTTTACAGTGGCAATACATTTCCAGCTTAAAGTTAGGGTTAGTCATTCTGGAAAAACTAGCAAGAGCAGGATATACTGCAAAACGAAACTGACATCAGCCCCTCAAATTGATTGAATTTAAGGGGACTATTGGGCCATGGTGGAGATTGCCTATTTATTTAGCTTTTTAACTAAACTTTGCAATTGTGTAATAAATGCTCTACAAGTTTGTTGATGCCTCAAGAATACATCAGTGTATTTTGTTGGAAAAAAACCTAGAAGTGGTTCCAGAGGGAATATTTATCTCAAGAAGAAAGAAATGAAACGGAAACACATTTCTGATGTAAACCTCAAAGTGTGTTGACTCACACACCAACTACTGACAGTCAACTTCATCACTCACGTCACCACACCTGACCTCTAACCTTACAGAGGTCAGATAGAGGGATTTAACATGATTATTCTGTCTGCTCATTTATTTGATCCTTTTATGCAATTTGCAGGTTTCCAACAGTTTATCCAAACATCACCTGAACCAAAATGAACATAATCCTTATGTTTGACTTTATTCCTTTGAGCTCAGCTTTATTATTTGCATCAGCTTGAGGAATCAGACAATCAGACAATCAGAGTAAGTGTGATGATTGTGATATAACTTTGGTCCAGTGAATCAGAGGCCCTCTTTGACAACTCTGGTTGGTAATACAAGAGTTTGGTATTATTATCCAACCCTGTGATCACAATTCTAACTGACGGGTGATCAGAGGCTGCATACCTCTGCAGAGGCTAACGCCCTATCTCACCCTGTTGAGGAAAAGGAAAAGAAATACTCCAAGACCTGCCTGTTAAGGTCCACTCCAAAATTGAACAGGGTTCTTCCTCGGGTCATATCTCACCCCTCCTCAAAATTTCTGGTTATATAGTTTTGAGTAAACACATAAACTCACAAACATAAAACATCTTCAATCATGTTAACGGCCACTGACTGCCCCAAAAAGCCTTCAGAGGCTTGTTTGTTTATAACACAGACTAAACTAAAGCCAATGATTTATAACCTGCATTCGAGGAGTTCTTGACGGGTTGTGCATGTGGTAGAAGGCATGGATCATAAACAAGCACATGATCTGTAAACACCTCTGCAAATAGCTTGTGGGGCTTTTGGGAACACACTTTTTCTGCCGTTTTGAGTTACAGTCGAGTATCATGACATGATGGCAGCCGGCTGATGCTGCCAAACAGGATTCTGACACAAGACATTTTGACAGACTTTGTTCTTTGAGAAGAGCAAATAGCCTCCTCTGCCTGGATCACTGTTTGCCTCTGGACATTCTTTAATGAAACCTGAAACTTTCTCCCATTCTCCTGTCTGAAATGGCATCAGCAGAGAGAGAAATGTTTGTGAGCAAACACCTGACATATTCCGAGTCTTACCCCAGAAAACATCAGTTACAAGTAACAACAGGTTTCTGTGAGAAGGAGAAGATTTGTGTGCTCATGTTCCTCTGCCAACTGGATGGGTAACTAGGATGACATGATTTGCATTTGAGTGAGCAAAGGCAAACAAAGCTCATTGTGCCTAGACTTCAGAACAGCAAACGCACACAACCTATCCCTGTCGCAGCATTCTTAGTTCCTTACTAGGCAGAGTGAATTGATGCATTAAAGTGAAAGAAAACTCACACTACTCGTTAGCCACGATTTGTTGGTTAAATAGCAGTTGTCTTTTAATTTGGTGACCCATACCTGTGTGGTGGTAAAGTAATAGGTATTGTAACAACTAGTTGATAAACCATTCAAAAATAATTTTGCAGACTATTCTGATAATCAATCAATTGTTTAAAATATTGAAAGGAAAAAACGGTTGATGCCTCAAGATCTCAAAAAGTGAGAACTTGCTGCTTTTCTTGGTCTGGCTTTGTAATAAATTCAATACTTTGCAGTTTGACCTGATGCTTGTACCAAACAAACAATTTGATACCATCACCTCATGTGCTGGGATGTCAGGATGGGCTCTTTTCATGATCTTTTCTCTAAAGTTTTATGGACCAAACGTTCAACTCTGATAAATTAATATAACTAATTGGCAGATTAATCAATGATTTAAAAAGTGGTCATCAGTTGGAGCCCTAAAAGTAAGCGACACCACAATAGAAAAATACTTAATTAAAGCCAAATTTCCAAGAGTGAGACTGTTTAGCATATGTAGTAAACAGTGTCATTTCCTCTGTAACAAAGCAACAGATTGTATACATTTATCATGGGTTTTTCATGTAAAATCTTTAGCTGCAAACTAGTAGGAGTTAGTAAAATAAAATATTATATAAAATACTTCCATCTGAAACTGTTGGATGGACTAAACAAGCAACATCAAGGCATCAACTTGGGTTCTGGAAAACTATGAAGGACGTATTATAGACATAACAATTCATTATAATAATAATAATAAAAAGAAATGGAAAAATAGATTTCAAAAACATAAATTAGTTGCAACCGTTAAGAACCTCCTCTGAACACAGTACAGTTTGTAATGAGGTGCATGTTGGCGGTGCACCATTAAACTCCCTAAACAACTGAGTTTCTCTTCAATTATACCACAGAAACAAAACTGAAAGCGACGGGAGGTTAGGTGGGACGCAGATGGAGGAAGAGTCTTGCCAAGATGTCAAGACCTGCTACTCATTTTCCATCTTCCCTTTCAGAGACTGACAGAAGAGCCTGTCCTTGATGGTAATGCCAGCTTGTTTTGAAAGGCAACACTCTTGTCCTCTGACATTTCAGCTACACTCAAAGCAACCTGCCCCGCCCTCTTGTCCCATGATGCCACTCCAACTGGTGAGCCACATCCTTTAGCCCCCCCAACGGGTTAAGAGGTCACCTAAAAACAGAATATGGGTTATGTTTTTTCTTTTTGAATAGGGCAGATTCAATGGGTGAAGCTGATTCAAGGCCAAGCAGCACATTCACAAGTCTGTGCAAGACTAATATGCCAGTGAGGATTTAATCATGTGTGTGTGTTGCAGTGAGAGTTGAAGATGCCATAGGCGTTAGGGTTCCAGTAGGAGAGGAGAGGATGTGTGTGTGTGTTTTTTTTGTCAGGATGAACTCTTACACTGCTAGTCTGCTCTTCCTGGGCTGCAAATTGTTTTGAGAAGTGATTCAGGTGAATTGTTTGAGGGCATAAACGGCCCATGTTGGCCGACTTTGCTGAGGTAGGGTTTGGCTGACAGCCCAGAAACACATAATTCAACCAAAACAGGAAGCATTCTGTTAAGTCCTGTGACGAAACCAAAACACACCAAACCAATTTCCAACAGTGTAAATACCAAGGTAATAATGGAAAACATTCAACTGCAGACCAGGTTGTCAACGCAAACCCGCCAACTGGCTCCAAAAGAAAAAAGTGTAGTGAAAACGATTTAGGCTGGAGACATAAACAACTTGCTGCATGCAGGACAATAAACAGGCGAGTCCTCAGCCCTCCTCCGTCCTCTGGAAGTTTGGCTTAGCAGCGTGTCGGAAAAGATGCCGAGACAGAAACAGGAAAGGCACACATGCTCTGAAACCTGAGTGCGGATGAACACGTCCCTGACCTCTGGACAGCTGCTCCTCTAATACATTGAAGATGACAAAAAAAACTAAACTGTATGACATAACTACAACATTAAGAATAATATTAAGTAGGCAAATTTAAAAACACGCTGCTGTCGTTACACTGCACCTTTTTATTCAGGAATAAAATTGTCTCTGGGGTTCATTTAGGTAAATGATTGTACAAAATTTCATAGCAATCAGTCCAATAGTCGATGAGATGTTGCTACTCCTAAAGCCACACCGCTTTAGATTAAGCTTGGCCAGAAAGCAAAGTTGGCTGATTTAACATTAACCTCAAAAAATATGAAAATGAAACTGTGATATTTGCTGTGCTTAACACAGTGTAGTGTCTGGTAGTATCTTTAAGGATCTTCACTTAAAAGATTACTAAGTTAATAAACAGCATTTTAGAAGTACTGGGTACTCATGGGAAATGTCTATATAGAGGAAATGGGAAAAACCCTACAGGGTGGAGTACTGTTGAATAAAGCCAAACAGCTGACAAATGACATTGCTCTTAGTTAATCATGCTTTTATAATTTTGTTATGTAATTGAGGCACTGAGATAAAAACAAGTGCTTTTGTCATGGCTGTGGTGAAAGGTCATTGTTTATGGGTGTGCCTCTGACAGGTAAGCTAGTCCCACACTGCAGAACTGATCGGCTCCCTGGTGTGTTGGTTCATGATTCATCAGAATGGAAGTAAAGTGAATATCAAACAGGAAAACAGTCGCAGGGAAAATGTGAAAATGGCACTTATGGATTAATCTGAAGATTTATTTTAATTTTCATTGTATTAACAAGACTATGTACACAGAACCTCAAACTGGAGTCCCAAGCACCACTGCTTCAGAGCGTTGGTTGCCTGTTTATTTGAGGTTTAAGAATATTGAACCTAACAGCTGCTATGTCTTGGACTCTTAACAATATACATGTCAAGTATAAAGCCAAAAAGGATGGTTCTTAAATTATGTGAGCCACATACAGACAGACAGATTACTGGAATTAGTAGATAGTTTAATACAATTCCTCAACTATCAAAATATTTGCTGATTTATCTGATCAATTGTTCAACTCATCACATCAGTCCTTGTCATCGATCAGTCAATCAAAAAACAAGAAAAAGACAGATGAACTGAAAATGACAAATAATAAACTGCAGCTCTAAAAAGGTTCAAGTCTGTATCGGAAGAGCCCAAAGTGTTTCTTGAGCAATGTTTAGTTTCCAGCTTGTCTGTTACTCACTAATGACTTGTTTGTGCATGTGAACAGAATGTGTCACAGCCTTGCTTGCGGTCAACTTTAATAGCTGAGGTTTACAATTCCAGATGCCTGCTGAAACTGGCTGCAGGCCTGGCAATGTTTTTGGTTTTAGTTTTGGGAAAATTCACCAGGGTTTGGACCAAGAACCTTCCAGCAACCACAGCCACCACTGACCAGATCAGTCTGTCAGTCACTTTAAGGGCCACTGTAGTTACTGTCAAGTGGCCTGGGATAGATAATCCTCTCTCTCACACACAAAGAGACATGGACACACACACACATAAACAGATTCCACTGATGCTTGAGAAGTGAACCAGTGCAGGAGGGGCTTATGTAACCAGGCTGATGTAGGCCAGTTGATGCCTTCAGCTGACAGGACCATAACAAGTCAGAGAGCTAATATAGTCACTGCTCTGGCTCAAAGCATCAATGGATCTCGCCCTCTCCCCATCTCCTCTAATCTCCTCCAGCCACATGATAAACCCGCAGACACAAAAACGAGACATCTACCTGTTTGTGTGCAGAGACAGTCAAACAAAACACACAGACCACAGTTTTAACCATGCTGTTGCTCTTCAAAATATTTAGGTCTACCTTGGATTGTTTCTCAATTATAAAAACAATATCACATACTAACTACCTGTTTATAACTGCCGCATCTAATCCCAATAGGACTATAATGGTGATGCAATAGGAGAACACCCATTGCAAGAGACAACACAGCAGTGCACGGTCACAACATTGTCACTATTGGTATGAACAGGCACACTGTGGTCAAAAACAGGAAAAGTAAAGGCAGCAACTACATTTTATTTTCATTATGAATTGTTATGTTCATCTTTATTAATAGTAAGTTTAATTATTTGTTTTAAGTTTAAAGGCTGATTTTCTAAGTGTGGTTCTTAACTCTTCATTATGTGAAGAGAATGACAAATGCTTCACAAATCGAAGGAAGAAAACTAAAACCATTATACCTCCTCAATCTGCTTGCACCATGCATTCAGCACTGTATCAAATTCTATTGAACTTTTGGCTCCAAGAATTGTTTTACACTTTCTATGACATCACAAGATGGGGCGTTATGCAACATTTTTGTTTATTTCCCAGAGAATTATAATGGATCTTGAGGACAAAACTCAGTTTAAGGTTACAGATATCTATTAGTGTGTGAAATTTGGTTCAGTTTGAATGACATTAATTGTACTTTTGGGCCTTGGCTCTGGTATGTGCTCTACTGAGTGTCATTCTAGTAAAATAAATATCACAAATTCCCAGAATCCAACGCCGAGCTGGACCTCCCTATACGCTCACGTTGCGTAGGGCCCCGCAAATTAAGCCACGCCACATCTCCCCTTGTATCAAATGGATCAGTGAGTGTAGTGTACGTTTTAGCCATGAGCTCTGTGGTAGCTGTGTGCTACTGTGTGAAGCCACTTAGCAGCACCTGCTTGATAGCTTCAGGCGATGCATTAAAGGAGTATTTGTAAATGGGAAAACTAAAGAGAATATCCTGTGTAGCACCGTAATTATCATTATGAAGTACTTTGGTGGTGCACTTAACACAAAAGCCTGACTCCTCCTCACATCAGCTTTCTGTCGCAATTATTCAAACGTCTCCACCAGTTCACTGCTTTCACTGAACACAGTGTTCATGTCATTCTGGATTCATTATAGCTCTAACAACCAAAGCACCATCTTCAAGCATAGCCACTGGATCTTTATTAAAAAGGGCAATTTTGATTTCATCTACTTTTATGTGTTTTAGGACTAAGGGTAGAGTGAAAGTTACTTGTACCATTAAATAATAAGAGGATTTGCTGATTTCGGATCAACACTATTTCTTTTACGACCATCTGTCTGACAGAAGTCATGCATGCTTATTAAGATAAAACAAAACATAGAAGCATAAATGCTGGCATTTGTATAAGCACCACAGCTACAACGAATAACATTGACAATGGGTGTGTTAGATGTACAGTGAATGATCAAGCATCGACAATGGTTAATAACATCGGGTGCACAAAGGCAATGGGGGCCCCCCAAATCAAAATTCTGCTTAGGGCCTCATAAAGGCTCGGGCCGGCTCTGATCCAACATGTGGAAAACATAAAACACGACTAAAACATGGCTAAACCAGGCTGTGGTTAATGCCATGTTAAAGTTTGTTGTGATCATGTGTGCTAGAAGATTCTCTTAAGAGACTGTGCAAACTGTGCCTGTAGCTTCACGTCATAACAATGTTTGGCAGCTCCTTGTCTCCCCTCAGGATGAAGACATGATCGTGACAGGGACAGTGTTTGCATTGAGATGTCGTCCCTGTCAAGTCCTTTTACAGCCTGTGTCCTCCGTTGTTTTCCTACAGGAGACTCTCGCTTTATCCACCAGCCCAAACACTTAACTAACTAGACACACACAGACCACGACACTAACTCATAACAAGGTGAGCTAACCAACTAGCTGAGCTAACTAGCAGTGGGCGGGATGTTTCTAGAAGGGAAGCGGCTCCTACCTTTCCTCTGTGTTCAGCATGATAGCTTCGAGGAAACTCGGTTCTTTATGTCGTTTCTGATAAACACAGCAGCTACAGTTCAGCAAAGACTCCACGGGTAAGTTCACCATCCGTCACTTCACAACAGCCCCGTCACAGTGAAAGAGTCTGAAGAGGCGGTCTGCGGGGAGCGAGCACTGAGACCTGAGACCGACACGGAGAGCGAGAGAGTCACACTGCGGCTGGCCGAGGCAGGACGCTGCTTTTATACCTGCAGCCGAGCATCATGGGTAAATACGTCACACGCAGAGTTTTTTATTATCAAAAAAATAAAAGTAAACGTCACATTCTGGTTCATGGCGACGCAATTTACATTCGTTTTTAATATTCCCCCGTAATGTTCAGACAGTGAAAACAAATGTGAATGGAAAGATGAACCAGAGTCTTTGACATGTATTATTTCCATCCACTGACTGTTTGGACTCGACCCAGGCAGGATTTATTGTTTAAATCTAATCTTAGTGTTACATTGGACTGTAAAAATGTTGTTACGCATTTTAAAGATAAGAATTACAACAATGACTTCATTGTAAACCTAATGATTGTGTACAGTAAGTTTCACATCCATAAAAGCAGGATGGATTTTTTTGTTTTGTTAAATAGCATACATCTTTTTCTGAATAAATATATGTATGTACTGTTTTATTTTTTTAACTAATATTTATTCATCTGCATGTCTGTTTATTTAATTGTACTCTTTCTTTAGTGGATTATCATCTTTGTCAAGCACAGGTTTCTAAATAAAGTTGTTAAAAAAGAAAGGCAACTTGTTCTTGTATATTATATTTGTATATTTTATTTACTTCTTCCTTTTTAACAATGTATTTAACTTGTTTGCTTTCATGTATTTTTACTGGTATTTAATTAAATTTGATTTATATTTTCAAATAAAGTCACTCACAAAAAGACAGACAGAAAGAAACTGAAGCAAAACAGACATTCAGGATATATATCAGACATGCATTAAATCATATTAATATACATTTTTTATCACAGTTAGTTGATGATTATAATATTTCAATAGCACTCAGAGGCCAACTTTCAGAAACCTTAAATTCACAGCAAACCAGAGGGGGGTTTAACAAAGTACATTTACTTTTTGACTTTACTTAAGTACATTTTTCATGTATCTGTACTTTACTTAAGTAGATTTATTTCAGTACTTACTTATTTTTACTCTATTTGAAAAGTTAATGGTGTACTTTTACTATTGCATACATGTACATGTTGGTCTATTTATTTGTACTTTTTCTTTAGTAAAATGTTTCAGTTCTTCCTCCACCACTGCAGCAAACACACCTGGGCCTGTACTATGAAAGCTGGGCAACTTCAGGGTTGGTTCAGTGTTTCCAGTCTGACGGAGCACATTCGATTCTTATCGTGAAAATCCCCATGGTAACTTATGCTGAACGGCTGACTTGCTCCGGAGCAGATTTAGTTGGAGATAAGAGATCAAGCAGTACAAAAGCTCCACCCACTGTCCAATCAATTCCTTTGAAACATGACATCAGGAACTGGGTGTACATTGTTAGAGGATCTCTGAGGAGGACAAGGGTCTTCAGAGAACCACAAAATCCTTTTACCTACTCTGATGAGTATCTTTATGAAAGTTATAGATCCTCAGGGAATGATAAACCTTTGTCAACAGCTGGAGCCGAACATAACAACCTGACATAGACTGTCTGCATTGATCTATGTTTCTGATATTGATCAACTGGGTGTGTTTGCAGCGAGATAACCAGACATAGTTTTATATTTGTATCCTTCCCTTTAAAGGTCCAGTGTTCTGCTTTAACTAAAACTGAAGAAAAGACTTAAAAACTGCCATATGTAATTGAAATGTGTCATTGAAGTATGTATTAAAGGTCCGGTGTGTAAGATTTAGGTGAAAGGGAACTATTGGCAGAAATTTAATGTAGAATAATCCTCATTATGTTTTCACTATAGTTGTTTCATCTAAATTGTGGTGAGGGGTGTTCAGCTGCAACATGCAATTTCAACACTAGATATCACAAAATTCTACACATTGTACCTTTAAGTAGGTTTGTCCTGTGAAATTAAATATTCATTTGGAATGGGGGATAGATAGTTTACAGATTTACTTTGTGAAAGCACCCTCCCCACCTCTCTGAGACAGTCTTCACCAATGTGAGGTTGTTAGGTTGAGTTCAGCTGGGTCTCGGAAATATATATGTTGAGCTTGCTTTGTAGTACAAACCCTTGGGTCAGACTGAATGCAAAAAGAGCTTCAATCTCTTTGCATGGACACAAGCCCAGCAAAACATAAAACATATCACAGTGGTATGTTTTACCAGTGGTATGTTTCACTGTGATATTGTAGTATGATACCACGACAGAAGACAAACTTGACAAACTAGTCAAGCTTTGGAGAGGGGGAGATGGGGTGAGGAGTTCCAACATACAGAACAATACCCACCCCCAACACAGCCTATTCACACTCCTGCCTTCAGGAAGGCGCTACAGGAGTGCCAAAGCAAGGACTACACGCCTGGCAAGCAGCTTCTTCCAACAGGCTGTCAGACTGTTGAATAAAATTTTGAACTCTGCCTTCACCCCCCCACCCCACTCCACTGACACAACTTGACTACAAACATGTGAATTAATCCATTTTAATCTGTACACTCTGCACTTTAAACAAACATATCTACCTCTACTCTGCATTTTGGTACATTTTTTACTCTCTCTACCTCTACTCTCTCTACCTCTACTGTCTCTACTCTCTCTACCTCTACTCTCTCCACTCTCTCTACCTCTACTCTCTCTACCTTCACTCTCTCTACTCTCTCTACCTCTACTCCAATTACAACCACGACACCGACCACAACAACCACTACCCCAACTACAACAACCACTACCCCAACCACAACAACCACTACCC